ATTATTATGATACAATATTAAGATGTTAAGGAAAAACGAATACTTCTCAAGAGAATCTCACCTGTAGCTCGCTTTCCAACAGACTCTCAAAACCTGCTTTGAGAAGTTCCCCTGTGGCCGTTATGTTTTCTAGTAGATCTTGTTTCTGCGAGCGCAGTTGCTGAAAACCGTTTCTCTTGTTTTTCTCCACGGTTTCCCTCAGCATCTGAACAGTGAGAACCCTTTTACGCCTGACGAAAATAGGCACACTCTTTTGCCACATAACACTCTCTTGGAGAGTGAGGCTGACGAAATCACAGCGGTATCGCCCGAGTGTGTTATTGGTCGCCACAGGCCACGTAAGCCGCAGAAAACTCTCATCGACAGAACCGATTGTACCCTCGGTGGACACCTCGTCGGATGTTTGTGTGACTTCCTCATCATCACCGCGCTGTAGCTCAGCCACACTGTTCCACTCATCATGATGCCATTTCAAGATTCGTATCATGACAATATCAGAAATGCCGGGCGCAGGGTTTGGATTGAAACATTCCAAGGACACGTTGGCAGTCTTACCAACCTCTACCTCAGGTGTGGTGACGTTCAGGACAGAAGCGCTTGAGGACTGGAGCAGCGCTGCTGCCAGAATTAGCTTCAATGCTCTCCAGCTGGCGTCCATTTCTCTCGTATAGCGGGTTATTTTGGTTATTCCAGGAAGGCTGAAGTGAAAATTAGGAAAGAAGAAGCGTGTGATCAAGAAAATATCTGGAATGTAAAACAATGTCACTCGAAAGGTTGAAAGACGTTGCTATAAGCCATACGGATTTTTCAAATGTTTTCAATCGACACTACCCATAATTACCTGGATACCTAGAGGTCTCATCTCTGGCTCAGAGGTTGGAGTGGGGGTTCTTGTGGGCAAAAGGAAACGATGTTCACCTTTCATTCAAAGGTCCCGGGTTCGAATCCAGATAACGACGGAAAATGTTTTCTCTAAAATTGTCTCCTTTCACATCCTTTCCTGCTATCTAAAAATGTTCTGTCGTCTGCTTTCGTCTCCACTTTCTGCCCTCACCCCCTAACCTACTTTGTCCCCTCCTCTGGGCTCCTGACTCTCCCTGCAGCCTTTCTACTGCTACTCCTTGGCCCCGTCTTACTGCTGTCTTTCAGCCACACCCCTGATCTTATTGTAGGTAAGATCTAAAACCTAGCCTTCTCGGATAAAGGTGAAAAATCTCGGAGGTCCCGTGTGCAAGTTGTGCACGTCAAAAAGGGATAAAAGTAGGCTTCGGCCGCCACCCAAGCAAAATTCAAAATGTCTTACCAAAAAAAAAAAAGTTTGGCGTGTCCTGCGCGCTCACATGACCTTGTGCAATTGCAAGCACCATAAAACATTTTGCCGTCAAAAAGAGGCTGGCGTGCAATGACCCGCCAGTTTTTACGGTCGCCAGATGCCGTTATACACTCTGTCATACTCTGGCCAGTTCATGCATGGATGTTATCAGTCCAGAATGTTCGAATATTTCCCTCATAATAGTGCGGGGGCTTTTTATATGACGAAAGTATTGTACTTTTCTACTGTTTAATTTTGTTTAGTAGATGTGTCTTGTGTGGATAATCTGACACACCTCATTGTTAGTCTTTTTGTTTTGTTTTTTTTTTGGTTGCTTTCCAGCTAATTCTGGCCATTCTGCGGTAGCTCCACATCTCAAACACGTGTACGTTGTTATCTTCATTCTTTGTAAAAGTTAAAGTCCATGTCTCAAGGTCACACGTGTCATGACAAGGTGAAATCGGCTGCTCGTCAATTTTTGGGCACCCTGGATTTATTGATATCATCTGAAACTGATCTACAAATTGTAATGTATTTGTCTTGCTTCCAATGAAATAGATATCCATTTATCTAGAATAGAACTCAAGATATTATTTGAGATTGAAGGAAGTGAGGACGATTGGTTTCAGTGGTGAAATTAGTGAGAAAATGGCCGCCAAAGTTCGGTAACTCCAATTGCTAAAGAGTCTGAAAACTGAAAAAAACCCGACATATTTTGTGCCTTTAAGGGGGGGGGGGGGCTACACCTGAAGGCTATCTCGCTTATTACTGGACCGAATTTTACCAAATTTAACACATATAACAAGCAGAATAAGGAGTCTTAAAAACCGAAATCAAATTTGAGAAAAAAGTTTCGTTTCCATGGATACGGTGGCCATATTGAATTTTGTTGACTTGTTCTTACGTAATGAATACCGCACTTATTGCTCATGGAAATTGATTGGGTTTTTTGCATGCGTGTTAACAAACATTAGATCTAAAAATTTGTCTGTTGTTTTTTCCTAAACGAGTTTTAAAACATTTTTGAATTTTTTTCTGAGGTACAATTCAAGTTTGCAAAAAATCCGTTAAAATTCACACTCGAGACACCACCAACAAAAAACTATTCCAAATATCAAATATTCAACAGACGTAAGTTTAGTATTACATCTTCTCTTAATTCTGTGAAAGTTTCATGAAGATTGGATGAAAAACGGTGTTTTGAGAAAACGGCTGATAAAGAAAAAAAAATATTAACTTTATGAGGAAATGGTGGTGATAAACATGCCCGGTACGAAAAAAAATACGGTTTTGGGGGTTCTTATGTGATGAAATAGTTGTAGGACAGGCTGAGGGAGCTAAAAATGCCTACTACTGAAATTCCATAAATTTGAGCCGAATCGGGGCTTTGGGGGTGTAGCCCCAACACCTCCCACCCCTTAATCAATGCTTTTCAGCGAAATTCATGGAAACTTTTTTTTATATGTACGTAAAAAAGATTAGCCAAAAACTGAAAATTCGATACTAATGTCCAAACGTGGCGGAAAATGCCTGGTTTCTCCAATTTTTTTTAAAATTTTGACGAGCGCCCGATTTCACCACGCTGCATCACATATAGGAAAATGGGGAAGATGTAGCACTCCATCAATTTCTTCCCTAAAGGGAGAGACATACCCATAACTATGTGCGGAGGAAACTTCGAGTATTTGTGAGGCAGCGTGGTGGAATCAGGCTCTCGTCAAAATATACAAGTGAAGAAACTTGCATTTTTCCGCAGGTTTGTGAATTTTTATCAAATTTTTGTTATTGGCTCAACACCTTTCATGCCCATTAAAGAACTCATTTCTGAGAGAATTTTTCTGAAGAGCGTTAATTAAAGGCACAAAAATGTGAATTTTCATTTTCCACGGACTCTTAAGCTCAGGAAATAACTAATCTTTGGCGGCCATTTTCTCACTAATTTTACCTCTGAAAACAGGTGATCCCCACCCCCTTCTTTCGCAAATATCTTGACTTGTATCCTATATAAATATATGTTTTTTCATCTAAATAAAAGACCAGTGAACAAGCTCGTAGAGGATACCAATAACGCTAAATGCCCAAAAATTGACGCGAGCCTGATTCCACCACGCTGCCTCACATTTAAAGATAGATCAATTCGACTTGCGACCTCGAAAATCAAACACATTCGGTTTTTAAAGGCCAGTGTGAGATTTTGTTAGATTCGGTAGAATATCTGTGCCATAGAGGTAGCTACATGAAGAAGAATTTAGTTAGCCGTGACTGGATCAAATGAATCAAATTGTCAGTGTGCACCGGATATTCAGTGGCCTAGTTACTCTTGCCTACCGGGTCGTTAGACTTGTGACAAGTTCTCACCAGATAACAAATCCATCGCCACTCTCAGCAAGAGGTGCACGGTGTGAATCAGCATCTTCACCTATTCCTGAGTCAATGCCATATCCTGAATATATTGAAATGATTATATTTCCCAAACAAGTGGAGGTCATATCGCCTTTGTAACGGTCGTTTTGCAGTCTTTTCTGGCCTTCCCCGTTTTATTTAAAGGAAAGCCCGTTGTTCAGGTAGGGTCAAGTCAGGTTGACCACAGCTACCATTGAACTACAAAGTTCTGTCTGACATTTTTGGCAGTTTTTGATTTACTACGATTATGGGGTCATAAACCAAATATGGGGCAGCGTGGTGGAATCAGGCTCTCGTCAATTTTTGGGCATGTAGTTATTGGTATCATCTTAAAACTTGTTCAGTTGTCTTTATTTGGGTGGAAAAAAAAGTATCATTTATCTTGAATACAAGTCGAGATATTTGCGAATGAAGGAGATGGGGCCCACCTGTTTTCAGAAGTGAAATTATTGAGAAAATGGAAGCCAAACATTAGTTATTTCCTTTGTTTAAGAGTCAGTGTTAACTAAAAATTTACATTTTGGTGCCTTTAATCAACGTTTTTATGAAAAAATCCACCCACAAATCAGTTCTTAAATGGGCATGAAAGGTGTTGAGCCAAAAAACAAAAATTTGATAAAAATTCACAAGCCAGCAGAAAAATGCAAGTTTCTTCACTTTGATTATTTTGACGAGAGCCTGATTCCACCACGCTGCCTCACATATAGACCTGCCTTGCTTAATCATATCAGACACGGAAGTTAAAGCACACAAAACCTTGACCTTTGGAAACCGAGAGACTTTTTTGGGGGGTAAGTGTGGCTCTCGTAACTACACGAGAACATATGAGCACGAGGTACTCATTAAACATTCATTTTAAGTTGGTAGGACATTTTGAATTTTATCTCTGCTGGCAGCCGACTTTAACGTGTGCAACCTGCACACAGGTCCTCGGGGATTTTTGGCCCTTGTCCGAAAAGGGTAGGTGTATATCTTTCCTACCATAAGATCAGGGGTGTGACTGAAAGATAGCAGTAATAATCGGCCAAGGAGTAGCAGTAGAAAGGCTGGAGAAAGAGTTAGGAGCCTAGAGGAGGAGGCAAAGGAGGTGAGAGGGTGGGGGCAGAAAGTGGAGACAAAAGCAGACGACAGAACATTGCTAGAGAGCAGGAAAGGGGGTGAAAGGAGACAATTTGTGGCGTCGGTGGCCTAGTGGTTAGGCTCACGGACTCGCAACCGTAAGGTCGTGGGTTCGAATCCCGTCAGGGGTCCGACGTTGTGTCCTTGGGAAAGGCACTTTGCACAAATTTTCCTCACTTCACCCAGGTGGAAATGGGTACCCAGCTATAGACAGTGAAAGATCTTGTCAGTTTTAAAGTGTCTGAGCGCGTGAAATCCGCAGCTTGCGCTGTATGCTTCCGCGGAAGCTGAGAATGTTTCTGAGTGTTCTCAGAGGGTCTGCTGGGGTAATAATAGTTGTAAAGCGCATAGAGCAAGCCCTTGAGCATGGATATGCGCTATATAAATGCAATTAATATTTAGAGTAGAATTTTTTCCGTCGCTACCCTGATTCGAACCCGGGACCTTCGAATGAGAGGCGAGCACCTTAACCTCTGGGCAACGAGAGCCCCCATCGAGACACTTGGCGCAAAGGTCATGTCCGGCGGCTGACATCTCGAAAAAAATAGAGAAAACACAATAAATATCTACTTCTGTTGACAACAACCTACCACACTGTTCATATGTCGGACCGTCACCGGCGGTTTCCGTCATTCTTTTTATTCTTTTTTTTTTTTTGGGGTAAGTGTTTTACGGCGCTCGCAACTGCATAAGTTCATATGAGCGCACGGGACTCACCTAATACTTTAAGTTGGTAGGAAATTTTGAATTTTGTCCGGGTGGCGGCCGAAGCCTACTGTTATCGATTTTAGACCACCAAGGGATCTTTAACGTGCGCAACTTGCACACGGGCCCTCCGAGATTTTTCGCCCTTGTCCGAGAAGGCTAGGTGTAGATCTTTCGTACCAGAAGATCAGGGGTGTGGCAGAAAGACAGCTGCAAGAAGGAGTCAAGGAGTAGCAGTAGAAAGGCTGCAGAAAGAGTCAGGAGCCCAGAGGAGAGGGCAAAGTGGGTGAGGGGGTGGGGGGCAGAAAGAGGAGACGAAAGCAGACGATAGAATATTGCTAGAGAGCAGGAAAGGGGGTGAAAGGAGACAATTTTAGAGAGGAAAATTTTCGGTCGCTACCCGGATTCGAATCCGGGACCTTTGAATGAGAGGCCAACGCCTTAACCTCTAGGCCACGAGAGCCCCCCCTCCGTCATTCTTGTTGGAACAACACAGGGAAAGGAAAAAAAACAAGTAGAACATTGATCCCGTTGGTATAACAGGAACCATCCCAAGGGACGGTTGACACGACATTCAAGTTTGTCAGTAATTTCAACTCAAGGGGCCCTTCTCCTACACACCATACCACCGCCATAGAGAATAGTAATCAGTTTTGCAACAGGTTTTATTATTGTTATCAGAATAATAGTAACAATTATGAAATCAAAAGCAAATGATAATGTTGAGAAGAATAAGGAGAAAAGGAAGGAACATTGAAAGGTTCTCCATCCTGTGTCTGAGAAGGACGTGTAGAATGTCACTCACCCCTGTGGGGGCTCCCAGGTTCGAATCAGGGTTACGGCCGACAAATTTTCTTCCCTAAAAATGCCTACTTTCACCTTCTTTCACCTCCGTCCCGGCTCTTCTATCGTCTTCTTTCGTCTCCTCTTTCTGCCCCCACCCTCTCACCTCCTTTGAGCCCCCCTACTCTGGGCTCCTGACTCTTTCTGCAGCCGTTCTACTGCTACTCCTTGGCTCCTTCTTACTGCTGTCTTTCAGCCACACTCCTGATCTTCTGGTAGGATTTCCTAACAACTGAAAATATTAGAGTGTCCCGCGCATTCATATGACCTTATGCAGTTGCGAGCGCCGTAAAAGACACAAAAACTCACCCCTGTGGCAGTTTCGCGGGCCGCAGTTGTGGTGCATGGGTCATGCACACGGTGTCACCTCACAAAGACGTCTTTACTCTAGTCTGGGAGCGTCCAGTAATTTTATAAACGACGAGCACGGGACAAAAACATGTTCAGAAACTCAAAAAAAAAAAGATGAAATGGCACTTTGTATTCTGCACTTCTTGTAGACATTTCGACTAAGTAAACATTCTGCAAGAGGATTTTTTTAAACATCATGTTGTTGGGTAAGGGAGGAGGGGTTAGAATGACATATATGAAACAGGGTGAGTGTTCAAGGAACAGCGTACAAAGTTAACAGACGCAGAACAGAATGCACGTGTGAGAAACAGGGAATTCATGCGTCTTGGAGGGGAAATCTCACTTCAGACAATCATGGTCAGAAAAACATACAAAGTGCACATAAAATAGGTTTTTGAACAAAAAACTTCCATTCTCATTTTGCAAAAGACGCATATTCCGAAGATCGGCTACAGAATTCGGGCGCTTATCAGTCAGCTAACACTGCACAAATAATATTCTGAAATCCCCTTTTGCTGGCATTTGAAATTTAGCAAAATAGGCAGTCTCGGAGTTATAACGGTATTTTTGAAAAATATATCAAGGTTGAGTTCGCATTGTACATCATCAACAGGATCAGAGACAACAAGCTAAGCATTAAGTCAGAGAGGGTTTACAGTAATAGAGAGGTGACACTCGTGGTGGCGCTCCATAACAACAGTGCATTGTTTCGCGTATCGCCCGGCGCAGGGCGCGAAAACACTTAGATCTACGCGCGGTGATCGCTGCCACGGCGATGCTCAGGGATGCTGTCATGTCATGAGAAAATGTAGTACCGTCTGTAGTTAGTTCACTAGGTTACTAGG